GCTTCAAATTCCTCTCCAGCGTCCCTTTTTGGGCCAAGGCAAAGGGGTAGTGCTAATTATGATCAGGAAAAAGCCCCACAATAGGCAAAATGTAGTAATTCTTCATGAGACGTTCTCTTGAATTTGTCACTTTTTGGCTTTGTAGGACGAGCTCGACGATAGCTAACAGAGCCATCAATCCAAAGCAAACATTTTTGATCTGCATTAACATGTAAGTGGAGTATTTTGAAGAGTTAGAAGTGATTTCCAGCGCTCAACGAAGTAAATTATCCAAAATTGACAAATGTATTGGCAAAGGATATCCTTGAAATCCGAGCCGTACTCTACTCTATTAGGTGCGGTAGGCAAATTTGCTGATGCCTACCCCTTGCTTCTTTTGCCATGGCGTCGTTTCTTAGAAAACGCGATGATTACATTCAAAACATGCTATAATGGTGTAATACATTTCACATCAGGTTGTTTCGGAACGTCCTCTCCATTAAAAAAGAATGCAAGTTGCATTGATCAGCTTTAGTATTTCCAGGTGCCCGAGTTTTAATTTTTCGGATAATCAATGTAAAGATTACCCATCGTTTCGTGTTTGACTTAATTTTAACCTATAATACTAACCTAGTTCCATTCTAACGAGAGTACTCAATCAGGCTTTTGCAGCAACTTATGTTGAAGCGAAACTTGCAAAAATTAGCCCTATCTCAAGTAAACTTCTTATTCCATCATCCAGCGTCTGTCTCCGCGTCATTTATAGGAAAGCTAAGAACACTGTTATCCTTAGTTGTAATCTGTAGGGCTCAATTTCAACGGAATATAACTGCTTGAAGAGAATTTATTCAGCCCGGGAACCTCCTTGCAGCAGATCTAGAAATAGTTACTGTGGCTGAAGTTTGATGCTTCATCATCTGTGAAAAAGGCATATTCTCTACAAGCTTACATCTCTGGTACATTTTCACATAGAAAAATACTGATTTCCTCCGCAAAATTTGCTAAATTAAGCAATTAATTATGGAGAAAAAAGTGCGCTCCGCCTTCTCCATTCGCACGCTTTGGACTGACGCAACCTGAGGCCACTGTGTGCGATTCGGAATAAATATATGCTTTGAATGCATGATCTCTCCTTTATGCGTTTTGCGCTTTTTCATTGACATTTTTATTCCAATCATAGTCATGTCGCTGGCTAAATATTGCGCAATTTTAGGCCGGTTCCAGTAAAATTTGATGAGTCAAGCGTCAAAGACGATAAGTTAGTTTTCTTATCTTTGCAGTATAATTTCTCTCAACCCATATGCAGGTAGTGTGCGGAGTATTTTATTGAATTGTCGGTTTTTAGATTATAACTCAGGTTTTCTTTTTTTATTCTTATTAAAATAGTTTTGCTTTCAGATGATGCATCGAAGTCTGATTCGCCGCAAACGGCTGAAACGAAGGTAGTTCAACTTGGCTTTGAAATCAATTGTTTTTCAGCTTCTGAGTTTACAGGTTTACTATTACCTCGATGACGACAATACTCCATTCGTGTCCATCTTACCTGTGCCACCTGATTCAGCTACTTTAAGAGACTTCAAAAAAGTGTTCACTAGAAAAGGCTTCAAGTATTTTTGCAAAGGATTGGATGCTGATATCAAGAGGTTAGCAGTCAGCAATTTCTTATTTTATCTGTCTGTTTGAGGAAAAAATGAAAGACGGTGTATATGTTTAGGTGTTTTTTGTCGAATAGATGGCAATAACATGATATATATTCAAATTCTGGATGGTAAGATAATTAAATAGATACATGCATAAGAAGATGTTTTTATAGAAGATGTATGATAGAAATGAAATAGAGCTGGTATCATATTGTATTATATTAGTCGATGTTTTCAATATCATATCTCCGAATTCGTCAGGGGTCGTGCTTGTGGATGTCTTCGGGGGAGAGTATCAATCAGAAAAGAAGAATCCCCCTTTTTTGAACGATAACTTATGTATTAAACGGCTTGGGGCTTGCGCAAGAGGAAATTTACAGGTTTTTCTACTCAAAGAAGTGTTTCTAAAAATTTTTTAAAATCAATTTCCGTAGATCAGCTCCATAGTAGAAAAATTATGCTCATTAATACAGGAATGTAGACATTCGATTTGGATTTTTGAAGTGTGGGTGAGCTAGTTTAAAGAGGCGTGTAAGGTCAGCGAAGCAACTAGGGTGGCACCCTGATCATCGCAATACACATTCTCACCTATCCTTGCAAAGCCCGCTAGTCGTTTTCCTTCAAACTCTTGAATATCTTAGGGCGGAAAGAATTAAGATTCTAGTGAACCTTGTTGTAACAAGCACTACTAAGGATCCATTGTGACATCCGGAACTGCAACGGTGGAATAAGGTTCAATAAGGAAGAAGTGGTTGAAATGTTAGGCAGTAAACATTCCATTTAAAACCAGCTTTGGTAATATGTTCATCAACAACTGAACTTATGGTTTTTCTTTCCAATTGAAAGACTGCTATGAAACGAAGGGATTTGAGGACCAAGGGATTCGCGAAATGAAATTCACTTCTTCCAAACCCCCGCCCCTCCCCGTCCTTCTCCACCCTACTCCCTTCGCCGTAATCCACCCCATTTCACGTGGAGTGCAAAAAGTAAGTGACCCTTTTTACCCGGGGAGATCCATGTTCACGTCATCGCATGTATGATCCAATGTGTCAGTATGTCTGTTCACTTCTATGCTAGTATTTTTATAGTAGTATAATGCTATGCAGACTAAATTTGAATGGATGGCTGAAGAAGTGGTTTGCCATCTGATTCCATATTGAATTTTACATTTTTTTCAGAGAAGTAAAGATTGAGTTATGCGACGATTCCGCTGCTTTAAAGAAGTCGACGAATGGTCTCATTGAACTATTTCTGCATAGTTGTAGCGGTCCAGGTATACTGCCGCGATCTGGAACACTACCGAGAAGAGGCCAAGCTGATTATTCGTCTGATATCGAAATGTTAAACAAGGTGAAACTCTAGTTTCTTTGCTATACAGTAAGGTGTAATCCTTGGATTTTGCACAATCCTCACAATCATCTTTAAAAAATCGAGATTTAGTCTGGCAGACGACGATCTCTTGCTAATCTGGATCTTCTTGACGCTTCTGAAAGTACCCATCCTGCCAGCAGTTTTGGAGGAACGATTGTTAGCAGTATGTTCCTGTACAACTTATTTGCATTTGTTTTTCTGCTGCTACTACAAGTTTTTGTTTGAAGGACGCGCCGGTGAGCATCTTGCCGAACTATACACCTCAAATTCTGAGAACTTCTACAATGATTCTACAAGGTCAGTTGAGAAATAGTTAATGCTTTCTCTCCTATCATTAATTTCTTTTTTTTGCGAAGAGTAGGTTAACTGATCTTTTTTCTGCATATTTCACATCTCTTGGGAAGGTTTGCTTTTTGAAATGTTTTATGCATTTTACGATATCGTGTGAGAAAATATGCTTATTTGGAGCAATTATGCTTTCTCGCTTTTCAAATGTTCTCCACAATTAATTAATTCATCTTTTATTACGGTTACATCAGGTTTTCCGCCACAGCTTCGTCATCCCTTTATGAGCCATTGTGTGCTAATGGTGGCTATAATGACGGCGGAAAGGTTCGAAGGCGTAAACCACGGAAAGAACGTTTTCGAAAAGCATATGTTCCTAGCACAATCAGCTCTATCACTGAAAGCAGGTCAATTTATCGTTTTTCTTTTTTACTTCTATTTGATTGAAGTTGCTGAGCAAAGACTTGTTTTCCAGCATGACTAGTTTGTCGCTTCCACGAATCCTGGAAGTTAATCTATCAATGAGAACTACACCATACCTCGGTATATCAGTTGGAAGCTTTCAGGGTAGCATATTAGTCAGCGAAATTTTGCCAGGTAATCTATCCAATCATTTTGCAATC